ATACAAAGGGGTTGATTTACTAACCTTATAAACACGCCACGAACAAGTATACACCTCTGTAGTGTGTTCCCTCCCAGCATGATCTATTGGTGGAATCTAGACACCTTTGTAGTGTGTACACACCCAGCAGGTGTGTTGTGCAAAGCCCTGCATGAAATGCAAGGTGATGTTCTGTAAATTAGCTCTACGTTGTGTTGCTTGCGTTGATGAATGCAGGAATGTAAATGCATGAGCTAACTATTTTTGTCTAAACTGTGAAGCAGCATTATATATGCATCATGTGCATGATTTTTCCATATATGGCATTAGTGGAAATATGCTTTTAGAGACTTTTTGGTTGATAAATACGTTTTGCTGTGTGAAAATCACACGCACCTGGTGCGTGCATGTGTTTAGGTTAGTAAATCACCACCAAACTATCACATCTTCATTCTTCGAGTAACAGAATATCTGTGCTTCACATTGTAAATATTCCTCACATAGTAATCCTAATGAGAATATTTTTTCTTAGACCTGTCATTTGCTTATAAGTATATACTTATTGTATTGATGTGTGCCATTATTGTTTAATGTTATATGTGATTTCCTTATAACACAATAATTCCCATGTATTTGCTCAGTGCATGTTAGAATGGGTTTAAAGATGGTAGATTATAAAGGCACATAATACAAAGAGTTAGCAGCAAAGCAAGATCAATACAAGCTGAAAAAATCAGATATGATTGATTGACTTACTTCCTGTAGGGATTAAATCTCTGTCAGGTATGAACAGTTTATAACCATAGTGTTTTTCAAGCATATCAGGCAAAATTTCCAGTGCAAATCTTTCTTCCTCTCCAGTCTCCTGGTTCCATTGATCTGGGTCTACTTTTGTATATGATAAGTAAGCATCAAAATCTTTGTTGTCTGCAGAAAAAAGTTGAACAGAAAAGGACTTTTAAAAGAAATGTTTTGAATAGATCTCTTGATAGGCCAACTCGATTTTAAAACTGGCATTTCAGTTTTGTGTCATTGCTGGCTATATATTTCATGAACTTCAGTAGAAATAGTTATACTGCCAAGACTAAACTGTGCTGCTTGCTTACCCAATGAGTTCCCCATAACTTAACCACCTTAGTACCAGAGCAAGTTTTTAACTTTTGCACACACACATGCTAAAATCTTAATTTTTTGATAGAAAATTACTTTAAACCTCCAAACAATTATATATGTTCTGAAAGCAGAGGCTAGCTTAATTTTTTATACCACACAATATTTGCACAAATGTTTATCAAATTGATTTTTTTAGGAAAAAATACACTAAAATAACATATTTAGTCCACAAAAACACAATATAGTACCAAAACTATGGTACTCAAAATTGATAATAGGTGACACTAAGCCTTTACTGCACATCACTTCATAGTTAAGAGCAAATAATGGCCCTACTGCTCTAACATTCATGGGGATATCTAAAATGTGTGGTGCAATTGCTGTGTATGTGCACAATGTCCAGCCTGGTATTTTTTGAATGAATGGATGACTATTATGTGAGTGTCACAGGTATGCCCTGGTTTTTTCTACATTTTCTTGCATTTGCTATTTTGTATGTTTTAGCTTCCTTTGAATAATTACATTTTATCTAGGATGCAGCATATTGTGTTTTTTGATAGGTTATAATGATTTTTGTGTGCTCTTTCCCTAACCTTTATCTAACTAGGGGGTGTTGTAGGTGGGTGGTGTTTTCATTAATTAGCCTGTTCACCCTTTTTGTTTTAGCATCTTGATAAAGAGACTGAGCTCCATCAAAATGTTAACAGTAAAATGCTGATGCTTTGAGTAAGCTCCAGGCCAAAGTAAGCAGCTTCAGCATGTTTTGATAAACTAGTAACTTTATGACTTTTTTCACCTAAATCAATTTATACATACTTATGAGGACACACAATGTTTTTATTTGGTACATTTAATTAAAAAAAATAGATTAGTAAAAAAAATAATAAAAAATGCCCTGTTTTTATTATACATTGACAAATATGCAGAAATGGAAAAACAATATTTGTTTACATTTTTACTATTCTTAAATACATTTATTACCATTTTTAACAGTTGAACTATTAAATACATGGCACTGTAGATAGACACTGAAGCCTGAAGTTGGCAGTGTTCATCTGCAAACTTTATTAATTTTTGCCAGTGGAACCTCCAGCCTGCATGCGATCATGTGAATTTCGGAGCTGAAATAGTGATCACATTATCACATCACTCACATTATCACATCACTCTCACATCACTCTGGTTAATAATCATCTTTGGGGACCGCAAGGTTTGAAAACTAGCAGCTGCACACACCGTCAACTGCTGGTTTTTGAAGGGGAGAATTATGCCAGGGAAAGTTAGTATAGAGATTGCTAGTGGAAAGGGGTTAGTTTGTTCATAGTAAGTTTGTTAAAAAAAAGGCTTAGACATTAATTTTCATTAAGAAGTCAATAACCACAAGAGCAATTAAACTAATTCCCTGGTATAAGAGGTGACATGTTGATTTTTTGTTCTTGTTGTGTGTAAAGTACAGCTAAATCTATTGCAAGAGTAATGAAATGTTAACCTTTTTCATACTCTCTAGAGAACATTATGCACAGACTATGAAGAATATCAATTGCTTATAAACAAAGCCTTATTGAATATTCTACTGGGTGCCAAAATTAATTCTATATTCATTCAGTGCTGAAATCAGCTATTTGCTAATGCATGCTTTTTGTCTTTCCTATTTTCCTTACAAATGCTTGATAAAGAGGAAGCTGTGAAATAAAGTGTCCTTTTTTACTTTGTGTCAAAAGAAACATTAATATTTTGTACTATAATGAACTCAATACAGCAAAAACTTTTAGAAAAAAGACTCTCTAATAAAGAACAATACATCAAGAGCTGTAAGTGGAGTACGTGTTTCCTTTCTTTTTATAAATATTATCTGGCTACAAAAAAAAGAACAGCCTCACACTTGCAAATAAGGAAGAAAAAAAAGTTTTGCTTAGAGATCCCTGGGAGTCAATACCATTAAATTACATTTCTGAAGAAGTCATATAGATAACCTCATTCCGTGCAACTGATGTACTTAGCAGGAGACTAAAAGGGAATATGGCTTCTTATACATGCAGAGTAAACTGAAGTACTGTTACCACTAGCTTCCAGCCATCAAGCTAAAAGGCCAACAGTGTGAAGCACAGAATCACAGTGGCTTGCTAAAAAAAATGCCTTCTGGAGTTAAGAATTTTAATAAGGCATAAGATTAATAGCCTGCAATTTCTTTTTAACTTTTAGTTTGTACATGTTATACATGGAAAGAACATTTGGCACTTCCTGGTAGTGCCTTAAGCATAACAAGTTTAACCGATGCAAACTGTATTTTGCATTTACTGCTCTTAAGTCTATTGGTGCATGAGCTGAATGTGTAGTTATAATAGAGAATGGTATCTTAATTGCGATGCTATAACATACATAGAAAAAGCAAAACTCCATGAAGACTTCATTAAATAGAATGTAGGGGTCCTTTTTGACTGTTGGTCACCTAGACAAACAATGGGAGGGAATCCAAAATGTATAACTGTCCCCAGAGTAAAAAGTAAGAGAAAATTCTACAATGGGCACAAATGATCCAGCGACAACTCTTTAAGATATGAATTCTATTCAATTTGGGGAGATCTTTTATCATTTTTTGTTGCATCTTCAGGACAGAAAACAATTGTGAAGCAGGACCTTGTTGATTGAGATTGTAATGCTGCTGAGGCATTATAGATGGAGTTACATTTAAGTGTGTACACAAAGGTACTACCAGCACTAATGCTAAACCACAAGTATACTACATGAACCAAACCAATGTGCTTTCTTGGATTAATTGGTTTATATGAAGTTTATTCATTGGAGATGTGCAGTAGTTAATGGGACTTCATATGCTCACTGTGAGGCAACCACCACTACTGCCAGAACACAAGTATACTACAGGAATTAAACCAGTGTGCCTTCTAGAATTGAATGTATGCTATATGAACTTTATTAATTTGGGCATTTACGGGTGTTATGTGATTTTCCCCCTTGCTAAAGCTGGATTAAAGTTATACTGTCATAATATCTACAGAGGTTAATTAATACCTGCATGATGTAATATAGGTTGCATAAAAGACTGGGACTTCCAAATGGTTCTTTAACCTCCTATACATGTATCCTATAATACATTACTCTAAGTTACCCAATTTGAGATTAACCCTTGCCTTTTGAATTCCGTATGCTGAAATACCGAATTATTCAATTATTTGTTAATTAACCTCTAATGCTGCCTTGCCCACTGTGGTGTAAGTACACTCTCTTGAAGCCACTGGTCACTGAACCTCAACCATTGCTGAAGCAAAAGCTCTGCAGCTGTTAAGCTCTGCACACAATTAAATTCAGCGATGTTGTTTCCTAGTGAAGCATTACAAAAATGTGTTATCTGTAAATATCGAAAGTGTTCTGCTCATGGAAGATTAAATTGGTTGCACAGCACTTGCAAAGTTTTGAGAGTACCTTGGGCATACAGGTCTTGAATATAGAGAATTCCTGAATTTCTCCAGTGCACTAAGTTCAAATGAGGAATGCAATATTCTACGTAGCCTAGTGGAGTAAGACATTTTTTTAAGGATTTGGTACAGGGAGAAGAGATAGGTAGTGTTTTCCAGGTTGTCAGAGTGGTTTGTATTGTTGGGTGAGGATAATGCAACTTGGGCTACTTTGAGCGTTAATAAGAGGTGCAAAATGGAGGTGCATGGTATTAGAGAGCGTTCCATTTGAAACCATAATTTGTCATGGGAATTTTGGCACCAGTGTTGTATGTTAGCTAGGTACAGGATACAGTCTTCCAATATCAGTGCAATTATGGTCTTTATCATGAAATAAAAAAAACTACAGGCGACACGGTAAGTTTAGATCTGATACCAGACATCACAGCTTCCTTGGTGCGAAAAAAAAGTGTATACACGCCAGGATATCACATGGAATGGAGTCAGGTGGAGATGGAGATTTGGCGATTCTGTGAGCTCTGTTAATAGTAATGTCACAATCTGAGCCTTGGGGAATGAGTTCTTGAAGGAGGCCTGTAATTTACTGATGCTGTTGTTGAGAGGAGATTGATTCATGGATCCCTCTAAATTTGAAATTGTTCCTGCGGGAACAATCCTTGAGATCAGCAATTTTTCGTTTTTAGCCATTTCAATTCCTTGTCATCAGCAGAGTGACTTTCCACTAAAGCATTGTGGCCAGAAGAAAGTTCCCCCATTCTATTTTCAACATGAGAGACTCTATGTTTACACATGGTCATTTTGTCTAGTATAGAAGATACGACAAGATGTAGAGAGTGTCTCAAGGACATAACATGGTTTTCATGTCACTGGAAGAAACAGGGTGTGAGGAGACAGGATATTTCTCTAGGTCTAGGAGGGAGCTGGAGAGAGAAGAACATTCAGACTCCAGGAAGGAACGTGGCTGGTCAGTTGCTCTTCTAGAGCATTTGGATTTGGCAGGGCTGCGAGTGGTAGGGGAGTCAGGTGGAGATGACTCACCCATGTCCCGGGACTATGCAGTGTCCTTGTCAGACGGAATTTTGTGTGCTGATCGTTCCGGTATCGGGCGCCTGTATCGAGAAGGTGTACCAGGTTTAGACGGAGCAAGAGGGTCAGCACCATCTTGCATTTCTGTCGTTGGAACTGCGGGGAAGAAGTCTGTGAACTTCTTTGGTGAATTTCGATTCTTCCCTTTCATAGGCATGGCGGCAGGTATATACCGTAGGTAAGAACTTGTGGTGATCTAGAAGGAAGAAAGATCCCTCATGATGTAGGTAACCACCTTCTTTGTGGCCTAGGAATAGCAGAGCTCTGTTACTCTGCAGCAATCTTAGTCTCTGGATAGTCATGCCCCAATAAAACCATATTTTCATTATCACACCAGTGTAACAAATAAAAGCCTTATATGACCTTATGAATGAATTAAATTAATTTAGGTATGCAAATTAGCCATTAAGTTATTGTCAAGTCAACTGATGCAGGTATCAATGACCAATGGATACAAAAGGGTTAAAGTTGTAGTGAGACTATATCAAGTTTTGAATCTTCAGCTAAGTCCTGCTCCAATAACAGTTGGTAGTTAACAAAATATATGTTTTTCTTTATAAGGCATAAAACATTGTCTAAACATAAAAATCACAATGCATAGTGCACATAGTGAAGGGGTCTTACGTAGACATGTATCTTTGTTTTTAATCATAGAAAAAAAGCTTCAAGATAATATAGAGGGCATGATGCTAATAATGCTATTTCCTCAGCTTCCATGTTCTAAATTGATCAGTGACTGCCATCTATGATGCACATATGAGACATAATGGGTGGAATTTATCAAAACTGGAGCAGACAAAAACTGGAGCAGCTGTTCATGGCAACCAATCAGCTTCTCTCTTTAATTTTCAAATCTTAACTGAACAGAGAAGCTGATTGGTTGCTCTGGGTAACTGCTTCCGTTTTTGTCTGCTTTAGGTTTGATAAATTCCCTTCAACATGTTGCTAGACAGAAAACACCTTTTTATGTAGCTTTTTTTAAGTATGGCAACATGGTGTCTCCCAGTGTAGAAAGTCACATTTTACCATAGCAGACCAAAACTGTGGAAGTGACATCTGTGTGCACATCATTTTGAATGTATTTCTAGATAGCATTTCGTAAATTGTAATTCGATGCCCTACATATTTAGTTTAACTGTACTACACAGTTCAATAGAAGCGAATTTCAGGACAACTAAGTAAGCCTCTGCACTTCTGGATTTTTAGGCTTTCCCAAGAAAAAAGCCCACAGTTATAAATTTCACCTGCAGAAAACTCTTAATATCTCTATCTTAATAGCTTTTTCCTGTAACCTGAACTAAGCTGATCTGCTCATCTTGCAGGTGGCTGATCCAACTCACTTTTACTGACCTGCTTCTGGATTGCCCTTTTGATATTATAATCATGGATCTCTGTCTTACCAATAGTAACTCTGGCCCATCCCTTGACTATGCTTTTTACTGCTATTTATGCTTGTCTGACATTGACTTCAACCTTCAAAAGAGCTCCATAGACTCACCACTCCATTCTAACTTCAGCTGCAGTCCATATCCTGAGTGCAGGCTATGATGCGCTTCCCACTTCTTCAACCAATTTCCAAAGGATCAGCCACACAAAATGTTCATGGTGATGTACATACTGTTTATCGTTCTCTTGGATATTCTTTTTGGAACCTGTTTGGATTATTTCAATACATTTTGAATTGCATCTATTCTGGTTTTGTGCAGATGATCCTTTGGAGATTGGATTGACTTCAACTTGTTTATTTCCAACCCATCTGCCTGCTGCCTGGCACCCCACCGCTTATCTTTAATCTTTAGCCTGTTTATTGAATATCCCTTTGCCTGGGACACTACTACATGCCTGATACTGACCTCAACCTGTCAATTGGTTACGCTTCTGATATTGTTCCTGAATCTTAACCAGGCACTCATACCGTTCTGTTGCCATTGCAATACTTGTACCATATCAAGGGGTACATGGACTGAAGGTGAAAAATACGCCACCTTTGTCATCTCAGTCCCCACTAGGCACATTATGGTGGGAACAATTGCAACCCAAGTAAGCAGGCAAGCCTAACAAAGTGTCTTGGACCTACATTGCTCTGTTTATGAAGTTTCAAAAATAATTATGCCACAGTGCCTGCAATGAGTCAAAGATGACTTGTTTTAAAAGCACTACAATGCTTAATACTGTATACAAATGTAATTTACTGGATGTTTAGTGATTGTCCACAGGTTCAATTAAAGGTTCAAATCAGTTCTTGAGAGTTGTGTAGATTTTCAAACAACAACATGTAAGGATTCCTACAGTTGAAGCAGTTGACTGTTGACTGTGCAGATGAGTAAAGTGGTTCGGTTTGTTAGATTAATTTGTTGGAAATTTAAATGGAACATTATTTTTTGTCAAACAGTTCAAAAAAACAAACAAATAAATAAATAAATGTCAGGGCTAGATAATTAGTTACTTTCATGCTATATTCATTACTATATTTCAGGTATTGCCTCAAGTTCTCATTTAGATCTTCCAAGAAGACTGATTTATTAATTTAACATGGATTTATCACATGTTTTTATGAGAAAAATTATGAAAATTGGAAAGTGATGATGTCATTTATTTTCACTATGTTTGTTAAATGACAATTTTATTGCAATTCAATTATGTATTGCTTAATATTATGCATAATAATAAAATATGAATAATCCCTTACCACCATCAAGTTCCTCAGTGCCAAAATGGTTTCTATAAAAAAGCATAAGTTCAATCTTGTAACATTTGTAGATGGTGACCAGACACACAAGCAACAGAAGAATGGCTCCTAGACCTCCAGCCAGTTCAACAGTGTACATCAGTTCTAAAACACAAAAAAAGAACAAGAACTTATTATGGGTATGTACAGGGTACAGTTTTGCAATATCAGTGCAATTATGGTCTTTATCATGAAAAAAAAAACTACAGGCCAATCGATGCTGTATATTCTAAGAACCAAATCCTATGATATGTAAATATAAGATAAGATCCTATAAGATAAGATACTAACCCAGCAAAAACTACTTGCCACAGTGACAAATGTCAGGCCACCCTGCTTACCCTAGAAGTATACAGAATGGAATGAAAAGTGTGTATGAAAGTAGTGGAATGTAAATGAATTAAATAATTAATCATGCATTGTTAATTATTTCATTAATTTACATTCTACTACTTTCATACATATTTTTAATTCAGTTCTTCTATGATTCAATAGTCAAATAAATATTAAAACCAGTCTCTATAAAAATAATTCAGTAGGTACTTAAATGAGAAGAGGAGAATCATGCAATGGAAGCATTGAAACACTGTGTAAAGTTTTCAGCAGTTATGAGGCACACACTAATTTTTGTCTCACTTCCTGAAACATCACTTATTGTAAAATTGAGGCTTGTTTTAGGGACTACTCTTGAAACATCTGCATGGTTTTGAGGGCATACAGGCTGGTACTAGAATGTTGGGGTGTACATACCCTCCATGGGTTTACCAGTTCATATTCCTGGTGCACCATGCACATATAAAAGAGGACAACCATACGTGTTTGTTTAATTTCAAAAATGTACAAATAAAAACACGCTGACATTTGCCAGATCAGTATATGTAAACCTGACAGTTGGAATTGCGCAAGTGCTTTGGGTAAACTGCTTAAAGAACAGATTTTTAATTCTTTGCTAAATAATGTTTAATGGTTAGAGATGTAGCATAAAAAAATATAAATTTTTAAATATGCCCGTGCCTGTTCACCCAGACAACCGCAAACCACACATATAATAATTCTGAGTAATGGGAATTTACAATCTTCCAGATCCACTGCTTCTCTAGTAAATCAATTTGTACAAATTGTTGCAGTTTTGCAAATCACAATTAGCCCATGCTGTGTATTGCTAACTTAAACATGGATAGAGTAAAAGTAATTGTGTTCATTACCAGGACTTAATTTCTACAAATTAATACTGTATGTATGATATCCTTTTGAATTTGTTTTTCATCTTTGCTTTTTTTAAAGGTGTATTATATGTGTATTACAATTCAGATGAAAATGTAACTGCAGATGTTCATCTTGTGAGGATGTCTTTGAGGCTCTCTGCTGCTGTATACAACTAGAGGTTTAAACGCTAGATATGAGGCAATTTAAATTAGCATATTGAACCAGGATAAACTAATACTTCCATATATATTTGTTATTAGCTACTTAAATCTGCTCCATCTATTGTGGAGCATTTCAGATACAAACTAAAAGTTTAATTACCACATTGTAACCATCTACATCTGCCAGCCAAGGTTGACTACTTATCTTATGAATTATTGAGGCATGAGGAAAACAAGTATTATAGTTGAGTATACATCTATAAGGCCCTGTCTGAATTTTAGAAAGCACAGAACCAGCTTAGATTTATCAGCATTCAAAGGGTGGAGTTGGCAAGTCTGCTACCAGCCTTACTACAACCTAATAAGTAAAGAGCTAACATCTCTTATGGGGAATACTGGCTCTGTACCAACTGTAATTCTCGAAGAGATGCACCCCTCATTTCAAAAAAGAAAACAATGAAAAAATGAATGCCTGCTTCGCCATCTAGCCTGTATTTGAACAAACCACACATATGTTTTACAAGCCATGCACCTTTGAAGCCCCAAAATTAACAATTTAAAATACAAATAAACGTTCAGTTTAAATCAATTAAATATATTTCAGCTGCACTAAAAATATGTGCAAAATTTTGCAGTTGTTTTTCTTTTGCAATCAGCCACAGTCTGATAAAAATGCCTGATCCCTGCTAGTATGATGTGGAGAAGATCACTCGTATTCTGTGTGAAGGCAGTAGTCTCTCTTTTAAAATAACACTAAAATTATTTCTGGTTCAAAGCATGCCAAACTTATTTACAAACAAAATAATATTTATTTAAAATACAATGTATTGTTTTTATTGTGATGGCAGAAGAATGCATGAACAAATAAAATAGAAACAAAAAGTTTATATGTGCTGAAAAAAAATAACTAAGGGGATCAAGAAAGAAATTAGTTCATTAAGACTGATTACAGTTGGCTTGAGGTTATTAAGTGGTTTACTTAACAATTTTTATTTAAAAACATGGAGATGAACTTTAAGACTTGCCACTCTTCATGATCTAAGTCACAATATTTGCAGGTTACTTAGGGACTCTTACTTTTTCAACTCTTGCCTGTGCACTCCTAACCATTACCCTGAAGCAGTGCATTCAGAGACAGTAAAGACATTTTTTTTTTTTAAAGTGACAAAACAAACAATTGCTTAATAGCTTAACTATACAGTCTTTACGGATCATATTTCAAGGCAAAATATTTAGGGCAAAATAACAAGCTCGCTTATTATCGCCCCTCTGCTACACTTATACTTACCTTCCCTGTGCTCTCACCATGCTTTATTTGCCCACTGGACCTAGGTGAAAATCCCTTGCATGATGTCCATAATGTCTTGATTGTAGCTAGCATTGTGACTTTAATGAGATTTTGGCTCCCCAATAGGGATGAGCTGAACACCCCCCTGTTCGGTTCGTATTCGAACATTCGAATGGCCGAAATGTTCGAATACAAAATCGAACTCAATGCAAGTGTAGGGGGGTCGAATGTTCGACCCCCATACAGTTGCCGGTACATGTAATAAATACAGTGTACTGGCCCTCTTACCTCCGCTGCTGTCCCGGCCTCCAGTCCCCTGGTCTGTCCACTCTCTGTCCCGGCCTTCGGTCCCCTGGTCCGTCTGCTCGCTGTCCCGGTGGTCCGTCGGCTTTTATCCTTCAGTCCGGCCTCGGCTCCTCTATGGTCAGGTGCAAGACTTTGCCCAATCAGAGCTTCAGTGGGCATTTTGTATTATGGAATGTACGCGGTCGAACAGACCGCGAACATCCCATAAAGTTCATCGCTCGTCGAGCACTCGAACTGCCGATGTTCGATTCGAACTCATGTTCGATTCGAACACTCGGCCCATCCCTACTCCCCAATACTAATTAGGAAACCCCCATCGTCCGCTTAGTTGTTGAAATTCAGACTGCCCATTAAAGAGATGCACTTAAATTTTGTTTAGGCCATCTTCAAATTCCACTGTGCCAGATATCTGCCAATCAGGTATCTTTTATAGTTTATGGCCCCTACCATAAAGCACTAAGTAAAAGCCAGAACATTAATTATCACCGGGCAGCTCAGTTAATACACAAAGATGGCCTGGCCTGATAACAAGCAAATGACCTGTTTCTCACCCCTGCCAGTAAAATATGATTAAAAAATTCCCTCAGTAATCATACCTTTGGAGCTGGGGGTGATACATTAATATACTGTATATATACATGTCTCATTTGACTCTGAGCTCAGGTGTAGCAAACATGATTGGCTTAGGAGGACCAGAAGGCCAGAGACATACATTACCCCTTCTGAGGGAGGCATACCTCAAAGGTATGTCAAGTCTGGTATTTATACAAGGCTAATTTCATAGATATACACACTATATTGCCAAAAGTATTGGAACGCTTGCCTTTACTCGCACATTAACTTTAATGGCATCCCAGTCTCATTCCATAGGGTTCAATATTGAGTTGGCCCACCCTTTGCAGCTATAACAGCTTCATCTCTTCTGGGAAGGCTGTCCACAAGGTTTAGGAGTGTGTCTATGGGAATGTTTGACCATTATTCCAGAAGTGCATTTGTGAGATCAGGTACTGATGTTGAACGAGAAGGCTTAGCTCGCAGTCTCCGCTCTAATTCATCCCGAAGGTGTTCTATAGGGTTGAGGTCAGGACTCTGTGCAGACCAGTCAAGTTCCTCCACCCCAAACTCGCTCATCCGTGTCTTTATGGACCTTGCTTTGTGCACTGGTGCACAGTCATGTTGGAACAGGAAGGGGCCATCCCCAAACTGTTCCCACAAAGTTGGGAGCATGAAACTGCATCCGACGCTTTGCATTGCACTTGGTGATGTAAGGCTTGGATGCAGCTGCTCGCCATGGAAACCCATTACATGAAGCTCTCTAGGCACTGTTGTTGTGCCAGTCTGAAGGTCACACAAAGTTTGAAGGTCTGTAGCTATTGACTCTGCAGACAGTTGGCGATTTCTGTGCACTGCGCGCTTCAGCATGCGCTGACCCCGCTCTGTCATTTCATGTGGCTGAGTTGCTGTTGTCCCCAGTTGCTTCCACTTTGTTATTATACCACTATTATACCAATATTTAATAGCAAGGAAATTTCACGGAACACCTGAATCCAATGATTTGGAGGGGTGTCCCAATACAGTGAGAGGTCACAAAGCGCTTTAGCCCTCCTGCCTCACACCCATTTTTGAATGGACGAGGAGCTGGCTCAGTGACAACCCCCTAGACAGCCCACAAAAATTGGATGCACAAAGCAGCTGGGAGGCTCCCATTTACCATCAAGAAGAAGCTTTCATTACTATTAAGAACAGAACCTAGCCTTACCGAGAGAGAGAGAGAGAGCGCGAGCCCATCCTATATCCATTGACTGGACTCTGCTGGGGCCCATAGAACCCGGGACATTCATTGTTAAGTACTTTCATTACTATCACCTTATTTTTTTGTTGTTGTATTATTTGTCTCTCTTTTTGTAATATTCTTTTCTGTATGCTTTTCTGCACCTTTTTTTTTAAATTAAAATTGATCTTTTAAAATTGTATCTCTAGATTTAATATGTATATTCACAAAATATGCTACAGTTTGCTTTTAAATCACTTGCTTATTGCAAATGTTAGAAAGTAATTGTAAAATGTATCCAATTATACATATTGCCAGTGCAAATATCTGTTTGTGCAGTGCATAATTAAAACAATGACATATTTATATATTA